TTTATGACTGTTTGTGTGTGTGAGAGGGAAAGTTAGAGACAGAAGTAATAGCTTGGTGTTATAAACAGACTCGAGTCGATAAGTGATCTAGCTCCTGCTGGGTGGAGAATGAGAGAATGATATTCAATTCAGACCCCAAAATAGGTAAAAAACAAACAAACAAAAAAAAAAACTCCTGCAGGTTTACTGCTGCTGCTGCATGAGGGAATAAAAGGATGACACTATTATTTTACTTTTCCTATAAAGCTAATAGCCGCAGAGGTGAGATATAGTTAAAAGGCAAATATGGGGCAGACTTCAATGAAAGGGTACCTGGTTACTTTACTTTCTCTCTCACACAATTTTTTAAAAAGCATTTCCTCATTTAGGACTTCACATCACAGGTGGGGATTCAGCAATATATGAACAACTTCCATCCCATCTCCAAGCTTTCAATATTAACAAAAATCCTTGAATCTGAGGTAATTTTGCAGTTAAAACAGTTTTTATCTCAAAGTCAAAGTAAACTTTACTGTCATCTCTGCTATATACAGTACAGTAGATAGAGAGATGAGACGACGAAGCTCCAGTTCCCTTCAGTGTAAAAGAACAACAATAAATACAGTAAGAGTAAGAATACGAATAAATATAAAGACTGGGGTAAGGGGAGTATATACACTTTGAGGTAAAGGGGTCAATAACATTCTAAAAATGTACAATTTACAATCATGATTTAAAGTGGCTTTGAAGTGGTTTAGATGACCAACATAGCAGCTTTACAGTTTACAGTACGAGTATGAGTATCTGGTAGTAGTCTGGTATCATCATAATTGATTTTTGGTTTCAGGATAGGGCACATACCATTACTGCTGCTAGAGCTGTGACAAATGATCTCATAGGTGTCCTGGACAGTACATTGGGTTGCCTTATTTGTGGATAATGAAGTGTTGATTAAAAAACTTAATAATGCTGGTTTTGGTCCTAAGGCTGTGAAGAAATTCTGAAATCTTGTAAATCAAAATCAGTCTGTATATGCAGAGTGCCATAAATCTGATTTTCTTGAGATAACTACTGGTGTCCCACAGGGTTCATTTAAACAAAAAAATCTGGGCAAATAAAATTTCAGCAAAAATACATCTTTATGCTGACGATATTATCATATTCACACATGCACTCTCTGTAGGGAATGCAATACAAGAGCTTTATTTAAAAACAAAATTTGTGGTATTCACAAAAATTCACCCACAAATCTGACATCTGATGGTGAATCAAATAATTCTTGCCTTACCCTTTTTTCAAATAAAAATACTTGTGGAAGCTACTTTTCTACCTATGATGGTTACAGGGATTCACTGTTTGATATATGGATGTTTCTGCCTCAGCTTTACTGAGCCATACACCTCTATGTTTTATTATAAATGCAATCATCACTGCATTCACCCCTGGACTCTGTGTGATTTGATGGGCTGGCCGTCACTATTTGCAAAAAAACAGCACTGGTATATTTTTCTCTGATTCTAAGTCCAGCAGCATACCATATGCTCCTCTAAATGGTTGCTCAGACATAACTAAAGTTCTGACAGATCTGTGGAAAACAGTGTTCACTTACTATGTACCTTGGACATTTAATAATTTCCAGAAAGCAATAAATGAACATGCCTGTATCTGTTGGTGAAAGTTTCATAAGGAATGCAGTGAATGAAACCTGTAGATGTTTTTCTTGTGAGGCCATTCATATTTTATGTAATTGGCATTTTTTGTATTGTATATTATGTTGTACTCCCTGCATTTTGTGTTGTTTATGTGTGTCATTTTTTAAATGTTTTGAGATTGTACAGCATCTACCTTGGCCAAGTCTTTCCTTTGAAAGAAATTTGAATGCAACTTCCTGGTTAAATAAAGGTAATATTAACATAAACAACCGTGTGCATCTGAGATTTTTGGGTCTTTAGTATATGTGGGAGACTCAAGAATAACTTGCAGTACCCGTATTTGTCCTAATTAAAGACAGCTCTTAAACCTAAAATCTCACCCCTTTTTAAACCGCAGTTGGACAAAAACCTCTATAGGAAATGAGGAATATGCTATATTGAGTTTGGACTACATGAGCAATACTTGTAATATCAGATATATGATCGGTTTTGGCCATCCATAATCCATAGGATGTATGCTATAAGGTGACAGAGGGAAAGAAGAAGGATGCAAGACTTATGTTCCAGTGGCCACTTTTCAGTCTGCAGAAACTCTTATTGGCTGACAGCCCTGACTTAGCCATTCACGTTGCTGCTGATCCTCCATAACATGCAGAGCTTACCTTGTGTGTCCACATGCACAGCTGTGTGCAGCTGCTGAATGGACCACTCATGCAATATTTTCTGTTAGTGTGAGTTAAAGCTGTGGCTTTACAAGTGCTGGTTGACAGCTAAGCAGAAGAAAGATCCAGGCATGCACTCAGAGCAGCTGCGTTTCTGAATGGATCCCGCCGCCATTGTTCTGCTGTCACTAACTCATCTCTCAGGCCCAGGAGACACACCACTGACATTTACCAGACCCACACCACTCCCCCTTCCCCACATATCCTTCCTCTCCTCTCTCATTCTCCCTTTCTCTCTTTCTCTCTCTCCTACCGCTTCCATTGAGTCCCTCGCTCATTCTCTGCTTCTGTCACTCCATCTCTATCTATGGGATGATGTATGGGGATGGATCAGTGTGGACACGTGTGTGTGTGTGTGTGTGTGTGTGTGTGTGTGTGTGTGTGTGTGTGTGTGTGTGTGTGTGTGTGTGTGTGTGTGTGTGTGTGTGTGTGTGTGTGCAAGAGAGAGTCAGAGTAAGTGTTTGTGTTAATGAGTGGCCCTTTAAGGCTATTAAGCTAAGATTGGTATGCCCAGAATCCCTCATTACCCAGCAAGCAATGCCCCCTACATGGAACGGTAATTGGGAAGGAGAGAGAGAGAGAGAGAGAGGGTGAGAGAGACAGGGAGAGAGGGCTGAGGTGGAGGTGGAAATAATAGGAGGATAAACAAGGGATAATTGGGCGGATTGAGACCAAGAGAAGCATTTGATCAGGCTGATTTGTGTCTGCAAAGAGAGAGATGATGTGAAGAGCAGAGAGGTTAAAGGTCACACACTCTAGTATGTATGCACACGTATGACACGCACATGCTTTACATGCATGAGTGGTGCTCTATAGACCCAGACCTGACATAAGCTTACAGATACATACATGCATACATGCACGAAGACATACTAAGACATGCATGAAAGATCAGGCTGCAAAAGCAATCTTTTAAAAGGTTCATAGTCCCACAGAAGGTTCATACTATGAAACAAAATTTGAGTCAATATCAGTCTGACTTTGGGAGTTCTGATTTATTTAGAAAAATGTTTTTTACTCTGTCAGGCTGTGCGACCATGGATGTCACTCAGACATCTCTGACAGTCGCTGCAGTCTAGATACACTTTTAGTCAGTTTTACACAGTGATACATCAGCATCACCCACAGGACACAGACATGAACAGCAAAGATTCACAGCATTACTGGTGAAATCCTTACCTGCTGTTGCTGCCAAAAATCTTAAACTCTGATGGATTTCAACTTGCCTTGTTTTAACAAAAACACTGAAGTATTAAATTCAAGTGACTTTCTCTTTTTGGTCTTTCCTTGTGTTTACATTTAGGTAATTTTATCAACCACACACTTGCTGATTTATTTTTAATAAAAATGTAAAATAATACTATCCATTTTGTTTTTCTAAAATAAACTTTAGATTTGCAGATACTTTTGATAAGTGTTTATGTATGGACATAACATTTTGATGTCACCCTTCTGCGTTAGGGGCACTTGGAATGATTTACGGGCATTTATAATTCCCATCTGCTGCAGATCCTCCTGGTTTATTTATTTTTTCGTCTTTGTCTTGTACGTCAGCGACTTGACATTAAATTTGGGACTTACCAGAATTTTTTCATCTGGCTCTTCTTTACAGATTTGTTGATAAAGTACAGCAAAGTAAAGTGTAAGATGCTCTGTATGATTCTATGATGAAACTAAATAAAAGTTCAAAAAAAGAGCACACCGTGGATTTATGTCGCCATCAAGTGGCAGGACTGTGACTTTGTGCACTCACAGAGAAAACGGGACAGAGCCTCTTTTTCTTTTTCGGTGGGCCGAGGTACCCGACTGTAGGATCTGACTATAGTCAGCTGCGACATAAGATACCATCTGGTCGCCTGTCCAAGGGGAAGTGTCAGGAAGATTACACGGAGTAGACCCAGGACTCAGATACCTGGCAGAAAATGGATGTGTGGATGCAAAAGTACTTGTTATGATAAATTAATGTAAGGTCACATATCTACTCAAAGTATGTCCACGATCATGCCCAGCTAAAAAGTCCCTGCTCACTTTGAATGCTCACTTATATGTAGCTACCTGGACTGACACGTAGTGACATTAAGCACCACATTTAGAAATGACGTATAATACTCCCAGAGAGTGCATGTGAACATAGTGGATATGCAACCATTTTTTATGGAACAGAATCTGGACCTTTTAAAAATCGCATATATGCACATATAACAAGCAGAGTGATATAGATTAAAAACAAGAGGAAAAACAGTGTAAAAGGAACAGCTTAAATTCGTGTCTTCAGTAAATAATTTTCGGAGAGAGGAGTGCAAACATGATTGGTAATTTTTAGGTTAGGTTAGATTAGATTACTTCCAAATTTTGGATGAATAAACACAATTTAACGCATAGCTCGTCAGAACAATAGAAGCTCTGTGGTATATTTGGTGTCAGTGACTAGGACTAAAATTCCGATTGCAGCCGAGGCAATAAAATCTTACTCTACAGGCTAATTATTTTACATTGCATCATCTTATACTCCAAACATGTGAAATACTGTGTCAGCTGTTGTGGAAACGTTGTTCAATCTCCAATTGATCGATGGTGACAGCAGCACGTAGCGTCTGCTCATTGGACGTTACTGTGATTGACTGAGGAGACGAGAGGAGAGGGCGGCTGGGCGATACCATTCATCCGGCCCAACACCGAAAAATAGCCTATGAAAAGATTAATGAGCTCTAGAAGCCATCAGGACTGCGGTTTCAAAGAGGATTATGGGCGTGTAGCTGAATTCGATGGTAAGATTACGAATCTGGGTAATTTAGAGCTGGATTAGCCTCCTAATCAGACGCGGTGTCCCCTCGCATCCCTGCGAATAAACAGGATGAGGAGACGGTTTTGTGACGCTGCAAGGAAACCTGCGAAGATGCAGAAATTCAAACAGTGATGGACATCCAGTTTTCTTCCAGATCGGTTTAACCGTTTTTGTTTTTTGTATTTATTGTTTTACCAGCGTTCCCTTTTTTGTTGGTCATGATTTTCCTGCGGAGGCTTGTGCAGCTTTCGGTGCTGCTGATCCACGCTGGATGGTGGGGGGTCGCGCCGAGCCCCACCGATGAGGGAGCACTCCGGACTGGCCACGGAGAGCACGGAGAGCCTGGACACCAAGAGCCTCACAAGGACTCCTACAGCACCTTCGCCTCCGAGTTTCTGGAGTCCAGATATCTGTCCGATGATGGTGAGGATGTCACTCAGTCCACTAAAGATGAGCAGCTAGTGGTTTTGTTTGCATGCTTTTTTTCCCACACACAAGCACACAGGGCCTAGCACGGGCAGGACAAAGGTTAATATGTGCCAGTGTTGTCTTGCATCCAACCTGTCACCTCAATATGAGGCCTTTCAGCACCCAGGCCAGCTCCCCGATGGTAGCTGCCCACCCCTTCCTTCTCCTCACCCACACACAGAGTGCAGATGGCCTCTCCTCAGTTGGCCTTCATCACTGAATACATGTATCAGCTATTTAGTGTGTAATCAACAAAATTCACGTTATTTATTTACTTATTTGCTGTGTTTCGCAGGTTACCCATTCCCCACAGCACCCCCAGTTGACCCCTTTGCCAAGATCAAAGTCAGCGACTGTGGAGTAACAAAGGGCTGCATAAGGTTAGAGATCCACCTCTGTCTTTCTCTAAAAAGAGCTCGAGTGTTACTGTAATCCCTGGGGCTCCTTCATCCCAGATGCTCCTGACGTCAGAGAGCCAGAGCTAAACATGGGAACGCTCAGCAAGCTAATTTTTCTTCTTTGTAACCTGGATTCAGTTTCTTTTAAAAAGTGTCCTCATTTGTTTAGATGAGCTCTGTCTGCCCAGCTGAGATCTTATCTCTAGTGAATGACTGTGAGCATTTGCATTTATTTATCTGCACTCAGGTACGGGAAGCCGGGGTGCGATGCAGAGACGTGTGACTACTTTCTGAGTTATCGTCGCATCGGGACAGATGTGGAGTTTGAGCTGAGCGCAGATACGGATGGCTGGGTGGCTGTAGGTTTCTCATCTGATAAGAAAATGGTGAGCAGCTCTGCAACATCTCTGACTGCTAAAAGTTACACAGGTCTTATTTGGGACAGCAAACCATGTGTTTGTATCTTTTGGGCTGCATATAATTATGATTTTTTTGTTTTATCGCTTCAGGGTACAGAAGAATTAGCAGTCCCACGTCAAACTCATGGATAAGAATTTTTTTGACTGTAAGAGATTGAACCAATTAAATATGAAATTCAGTGACTCAGCAGGTCTCCACAATAAACTCTCTGTGTCAATGTTTCAAAACTTAAAAAAACATATATTAATTTATTAGCCAGTTTGTTTAATAAAAACATTGTTTGGGTTAAAGTAAACCCTTTCACAATTTAATCCAATGAGGCGAAGCTTGTGCTGTTTTTTCCCCCAGGTCAAAACATTGACATCACAACAGTGCGACTAATACGTTGCAACCACAGTCCTGGAGCAACATTTATGTAACTTTTTGCGAAGACTAAAAGCATGATATTGCATCACATGCAATATCATGCTGCATGCATGCATCACAGTTGCTGCAGATTTCTCAGATGAACATCTGTGATGGAAATCTCCAATTCACCATATCCCAAAGGAGCTCCATTAGATTGAGATCTGGTGACTATGGAGGCCCTTTAAGTACAGTGAACTCGTTGTCATTTTCAAGAACCCAGTTTGACACAATTTGAGCTTTAAGACATGTTGTGTTATCTTGCTGGAGGCAGCCATCAGAGGATAGGTACAGTGTGCCAATAAAGGGATAAATATATTCAGCAACAATCTCAAGAATGGCTGCTCACTGGATATTTTCTTTTACAAGGAATTCTTTGGAAAACATAGAGATGTTTACATGGGGAAAATCCCAGCCGATCAGCAGTTTCTGAAATACTCAGATTAGTCTGTCTGGCACCAGCAACCAAGTTCAAAGTCACTTAAATCACTTTTCTTCCCAATTCTGATGTTCATTTTGGACTTCAGAAGGTCATCTTAATATCTTAAATGTTTAAATGCTTAAATGCACTGAGCCATGTGACTGGCTCATGGGTATTTTTTTTTTAATGAACTGGCCTGGAAGTGTATATTTTACCTTGACTGTATCATAATGGTCAGTTTTTTCAAGAACTAAATTTATGCACATTTTGGAAATAACACTCTTTGTCTCCTTAGGGAGGAGACGATGTTATGGCCTGTGTGCACGATGATAACGGGCGCGTGCGGATACATCACTTCTACAACGTCGGCCAGTGGGCCAAGGAGATCAAGAGGAATCCGGCTCGAGACGAAGAGGGCATATTTGAGAACAACCGCGTCACCTGCCGTTTCAAGCGACCGTTATACGTCCCACGAGAGGAAACGCTTGTGGACTTACACCTCTCGTGGTACTACCTGTTTGCATGGGGACCTGCTATTCAAGGTGAGCGATGAGTTTTTAGCGTCAGATTACACTGCCCATTTTTTTAGCCCTTGCCCGTGACATCTCCTTCATCTTACCTGTCCAACAGGTTCCATCACGAGGCACGACATTGACAGTCCTCCAGTCAGCGAGCACATGATCAGCATCTATAAGTACGTGGACATCTTCATGCCCTCCACAGCTTATCAGACATTTAATTCTCCCCTCTGCTTACTGCTCATAGTAGCTCTCACCTTCTACCTGCTGATGGGGACGCCATAACGAAGCACAGCACAGCACAGCAGAGAGAGGATGAAGCAGCAATAAAAAAAAGTTTAAATCTGATGCCACATACAAGTGCCCTCTTTGCACAGACTGTGTTAGATATATTGAACATGAAAGACTATATATTCATAACTCACACAGCATCTTGAAGTATTAAAGCAACACTCTAGAGGTGATATGTGCTGATCTGAGTATTAGACAAGAGGGCAGAGTAGTAGTAGTAGTTTAAAATAGGCCAGTCATTTTCAGTGTTAACGATAGCTTCCAGTTATATAAAAATATGAGGACTCCATTCCAACAAATACATCTCACAAGACTTTGAAACCCTGCATGCACTGGAAAATCTGGGAATGGTTTCAGACACCCACCGTGCACTGGTGAATAATGTCAAACTTTGCCAAAACAACGGGTTTCTGAGGATGAAAGGAAAATAAAACAGCTCTCACAAATGCTTCCCGTCTCCTCACCCTGCTACGTTTCTGTGGATCTCAGCCTTAAAAAAATAAAATAAAAATGTTGTTTGCTGGTGTTAGAAATATGGACTGCAGGGTTTCAGGAACAACCCGGTGCATCTACTATGTAAAAGATTTTCGTATACTTTTTTTTTACATCCTTGTCTGATTTCATCATCTCACTTCCTCAACCACAGTAACTGCTTTGTTTATCAGTACTGTGACACTGTGACTTACAGCAAGACTGATGAGAAGAGTTACTACTATTGCCTGTTCAAGCAATAACACGGTTAACAGAAACATTTTGCTCTTATATGAAGTAATATTTTTTTCCCCTGGGTTGCTATTGTAGCTTTTGAAGTGTATTAAAAATGGTTGAATATGTTAAGATGTCTCCCACTGAAACATCTGTCGCTGCTGTGCTTATTGCTAAGAACACAGCCTATACAAAATACAGACGCTGTAGTGAATGCAGAGATTGCCTTCTCACTCTGGAAGTATAAAGCCAAAGGGCATGACTTTAATAGAATGTAACATAATTAGATTTTGAGCAGTGGCTACGTGTAGTATGATGTGCAGCCTGATAAAATGTACAAATTACTCATACATTCACACTCGTGAGAGGCTGGGCAGAAGATAAAATACACAAGAAAGCGCAGAAAATAACAAACCAACAAAAAACACACCACCTTTTACACACCACCTGCTTTTCAAGCACATGAAATGGGCAGTGGGAAAAATAAAGGGGTTGTAGAAATTCTCATAAAAAAGTAAATGAATGTACAAATGCAATGGTATTCATATAAAAACCATTGTATATTTATGCGTGGTTGTTTTGTTTTGTTTTTCTTACCAGTTAACCTAACATGCATGCCTGCCATGGGAAGAAGCTGTAGGGCACAGGGAGAATATGCAGCTTTTGAACAGAAAGGCCCCACACAGCCATGAGATTCAAACCCAGTGGAAGTGTAAGCTAGTGTGGTGTCAACTTGAAGTCAACTTACCGTACCATTTAAAAAACAAATGTTTAAAAAAGGATCTCGGAATTTCAGAAAACCTGATCATCATGACTCTAATTGTCTTAAAGACACTTTGTTTAACAATGTAATGTAATTATTTTTATTTATATATTTTAAATAGCTATGATGTGTATTGCTGCTTGAATTAAGTACTTTATAACATCACCTTGTAACATTAATAAAACAATAATAAAAAATAAACCGGAAGAAAATTGGTAAGTTAAAAAAAGAAAAGAAAAAGAAAACAGGAAGGAACGCGCGACATCACCGACACTTCATTGCCCATGAGGCCTTTGGGCATTCGATGTTGCTACGTCATTGTTTTCCTCCCTCACGCGGTGGATCAGTTGGACGGGCTGGCGGAGCTGAAACTGGGAACATGGCAGACGAGGAGGATTCGGCGCCGGATCCCGCCGCTGTCTCTCCCCCAGAGATTCCTCACGCTGGGCAGCCTCACTTTGTTTCTTTCTCGGAGAGCTTCCAGCCGGCTGTCGGGATGATGAGCCAACTGCTAACCCAGCCCTCCTCCCTGAAGTTTGACAAGAACATAAAACAGGCCTTCTACAACACCGGGGCGATGATATTTGTGGCTATCTGCTGCGGGGCAGCTGTCCTGGTCTATTTCATCCTCGAGGCCTTCCTCCGCCCGCTGCTCTGGGCTGTGCTCTGCGGCACCTTCCTCCACCCCTTCAAATACTCCCTGGCTCGTCTCGGCCGTTCATGGCTCAGCGGCCTGCAGGACAGCGGGACGCCCATAGTGGTGGGGACGCTGCTGGTCCCGGTGTGGTGTCTCAACTACGGGGTGGAGGCGATGGGTAGGGTAGTTCTGGAGAAGCTCACGATACTCCTGGTTATCGGGGCGGGGGCACCGCTGGTTTACTTCCTCTACCTTTTCTGGAGTGTCATCGGTATGCAGGTGATCCTCGGGCACGTCTGTGGGGTCATCGGGAACGCGCTGGACTGTTTCCACTTTATGTGGGTGAGTGACAGTAGAGTGACAATCCTCTCTCTGACAGAATGACAAAGGGCCCCTCTGTCCGTCAGAGTGGGTGCTGTTAGGTCAGCTCTGTGTAAACTGTGGCACATATTTTAAATATTATCTGGGACAGAATGTTAAAAGTTATACTTTAAACGTCAATGATTTTATTACTCGCCTGATTGTGTGGGTCTTACTATAGTAAACTAGTAATCTTACGATAACAAACTAGTAGTCTTTTGATTGTTGGTTGGGTAAAAAAAAATCAAATATGAAAAGCTCACATCACGTTATTTGCACAGAAAATTATCTACAGAGGGAGTAATAACAGTAATTGTGAATTTCATTCCTACTTAATCCCGTTTTGTGTGTCTGATTAAAATGAACTCAGAATTAAAATGTTGACTGTACAAATGTATAAATGTTATTATCATGTTGTCATAAATGCCATTTAGCAATAGGCAATAGTTGATAAAGAATAATTGGGGGATTAAAGTTGACTGGCTGCTGCAGTGTGTCTCTAATAAAGACTTATTCGATTAACCTAAACAGAAAATGTGTTTCTTGGAATATGTGTGCAAACTTTTATGTAAGTTGATCTAATTTCCTGCAGTTCCAGCATCTGATCGATCGGTACCTCATTCCCAAACAGCTCCAGGGGCCAGAACCCGTCCACCTCATCCAAATTGCATTAAATGTTCTTCTTTCTCTGAATGCGGAGTTCAGCTGACAGAGGGCCTGTGTTTATAAATAGGATGGAGGACACTATATTAAATTACATCAAGGCATGTCTTTGTGAGGAGCGACACAAGCTGAGATCTTTATGAGCAGTCGATTAAACTTCTAGTGTAGTCTTAAGTGCTCACTGCTAAACAGGAGCAGAGCGTTTGTAAAACTGGATGAGTTTAGGAAGAAAAAACATCAACACAAAGTGATTATCACAAAAACTGTTCAATTATACTTTTTAAGACTCATGAAGTTTAAAGGTTCAGCATCAAATGATGATTATGATGCAATGGAAGAGAATAGAAGTCTCAGTATATTTAATTAAAATACCCTCTGTTTCATTATTGTGCATCTTTGTTTTATTTCGTCACAGGTGGGGACTGTCGTGTTTGGATACTTGCTGGCGGTTTGTTTTAAGTGGAGTCCTCAAACTGAGCGGTACCTGAGGACTCTGGCACTTCCTGTCTGGGCTGTCCTGCTCTTCTACATCGGTGAGTGTGGACAGCGCCCACAGCCAGCCATACAAGCTGCCTCTTTGGACTGCAGGAGATTTCTTCTAGATGTGGTCAATAAGTTGCTGCCTGTACAAATCCACTTGTCTTTGAAACAGAGGGCACGCAGAGTAAGATGAGGATGTCGAAAGTATTTTTAGCACACTTAACACTTGCTCTGAGCTTCAGGCGTGAAGTTTTAAAAAGTGACTGAAAGCTGGTTAAGAAGAAGTTCTGCCTTAAAAGGAGGTTTCTGGGCACATGTGAGAAAATGTTTTCTGCTTTGAAGTTTTTAAAAGTGCTTTCATAGCAACAGTCAACATTGTACCGGTATGTCATATTTGTTTATGAATATGGTTCAGCTCATCAGGCAAGACTAGCAGAGTCATGCTTGACAAGGAATATACCTGTTAAGCCAGTAATGTCGTCCTGCAGTTTAACTACAACAGCTTTCTCTCAATCTAGTTAAATGTATCCATCCGTAACTCATCCATCTTCTTCCACTTATACAATTCCTCTATCTGTTTTAGTGTCTCTGACTGGCTCATGGAGAGTCCCCATATTTGTGGTTGTGGTTGGGCTTCTCATCGTGGGCTACCAAGAGAAACCACCTGTCCCTGGCACAGGTGAAAATATACTATCACACCTATACACTGACATACATTGACATTTACCAAAATGAGATACCTTTACTCACCATTAACTAGGTAATAAATATGGTCAAATGAGCACAAGTCTATGATGTGCTTAGATTAAGTTGCATTTAGCCACATTTGCCTAAGCCTAGCTTTACGTGAAATATAAGTGACTTGAGGTGACTGGTTGGGCTACGCTCATCAGACCAGCTTTGATCTTTCCTACTGTGCATCCTCCGCTCTGCCTGCCTGCCTTTGTGTTTCGTTATATTCAGTCTCTCTTGATCTCCCCAGGTGAGCTTTCAGGGCAGGTGCTGTCATTTGCTGCTAACACTATTTACATGGCAATCTCCTGTAGCAACCTTCAACCCAAAACTGAACTCAGTGGAAGCTCCTCCACAGGTAAGCTAGCTGCATTGTATTCAGTCTATTAAAGAAGATCATACAGATGTCCCAGATATCTGGGCTGTAAGGTTTATGAAATGAGAGAACTGGCAGATTGAACAGAGGGAATCAGACCTCTGAACATACTGTTCGATAAATGTTCAGAGCATTGCTAATTGGTCAGAAAAATGTCAAGTTTTAAAACCCAAGATATGCAATTTCAGTTTTACATTCTTTATTTCTTTTTTTACTGTAGCTGCTTTGGCTTTACCAATTTAGCCACAGCGGCTGAAACTCAACTGCTTTGTTCTTTCTTTCTCTTCCTCTTCTGTGCTTCCTCTGTCTGCTTTCCCTCATCCGCTCATAGATGGTGTGCAGTCTGTGGGTCCCGTGCCTTCCACTCCTGGGTTTCCCGGGTTCGCTGGGAGCTCTCGTACATTGCCCGGCCTCTTCCAGAGAGAGAAAAGCTCCCACAGAGCCAGTGATATTTACTTTATTCTGCTGGTCTGGGCTATTGTCTTAGTGCAGGTCTGGCTCAACCTGTGGATACTACAACTGCTCCCTATTCCTGTGGCCGGTAACACACACACACAGACATACAAACAGATATGTGCACACTTTCAGTTACTCCTCGTCAGTCGGATTTTACTCATGTGCATGTTGGCTCACTGATCTAGTGTGGGTTCTGAAGAAGCTGGTGGTCCGGTTTGGTATGAAGAGCTTTGCAGAGAGGACTCTTACCTCGTGGTGGACGGTGCTAGAGAAGTTTGGACGTGAGCGTGAAGAGGCACTGCTCCCTGGACCAATCAAAGGCCTGGCTCAGTTCCTCCTACGTATCGACACTAAGGTAATGTAAGAGCTGCCTGTGAAGCTGATGTCCTTATTTCCTCTGCCTTTGACTTTATACTTCCCCATCCAGACACACTTTATCTGCAACTGCTTGATAACAAATTACTTATCAAAATATCTCAGGAAAACTGAAAGTCTCAAAATGCTCTGTTGTTATCAGTCATATTACATATGTTAGTTTCATTTTTAATGTCTAAATTTAGCCAGTGTAAAGATCTGCCAGGTCCTAAATTTATTAAAATGAAATTGGTAAATTCATATTAAATTGCCAAAAACGGGGGCTTTTTAGTTTCCTTTACCTTTAACAGAGGATTTTAGCTGCTGT